CTCCCAGGTTCAAGCAATTCTCCTGCCTCAGCCTCCTGAGTAGCTGGAATTACAGGTGCGTACCACCATGCCCAGTTGATTTTTCTATTTTTAGTAGAGACCGACAGGGTTTCACCATGTTGGCCAGGCTGGTCTCAAACTCCTAAACTCCTGAACTCCTGATCCACCCCCCTGACCTCCCAAAGTGCTGGGATTACAGGCAGGAGCCAAGGCTAGTGGCCTACTCCACACAATTGTAACAGTTACTAAATATTGTCATTCCATCCTGTGGGGTGCGGGTGAATAAAGATACATCTTAGCAAAAACAATACAGACAATTCAGGAAAGAGTTTCCAGTTTAATTACATCAAAGCTACATCCAAAGTAAAAATAATACTCAGAAACAAAGATTGCTTATAATTCCAGAACATTTTAATTCTAAAGAGCCTTAATAAAAAGCCCCCCATTTCCAAATGTTCATCAAAAACAGAATGAATCAGTCCCATCAATAAGGGGGGAAAACCAAAGGAAAAAAAAAAAGGAGAGGGTGAGAGATATAAGAGATGAATGAAGGCTGACAACTATTCTTCTTTATAAAGAGAAACACTGCTTCCTCAGTGTCACTTATGAACAGGCAGGAGGAAAGTAACTGTCCATATTTGCCTTATATACAGTATTGGGTAATTAAATGCCAGTTGGGCTGTTTAGGAATGGCTTGCTAAAACATTGAAAAAATGAAAGACTTCATCCTTGTCATAGACTGCCACTTCAGTGGAACATTCAGTGCACATGACTGGGTGATAGATTTCTTCCACATCTGTCTCTGCCTTCTCGGCAGCATCTTCCTGGTTAGACTTCATCTTCTTATGGCCTCGCCTTTTCTTCCTGTTCTCTGAGGCTTTATATCTGAGAACCTCCTCTTTGTTAATAGAACAATTCATCACAAACATTGCTCTATATTGAGTTTTGTACGATTCATGCCTAAGAGAAAAACGAAATGAAGAATTGGGGTTTACGTTCTATGTTAATAGTTTATCCATTTAGATAAAATTTGAGAACACCAAAAACTTAACTGAAATACCAACCAAAGTAAAGACAGAGGAATAAAGAAGCAAGTTTAAAGAAATTTTAAACAGTTGTTTTAAGAATAATTAAAACTTGTGAACACAGCTCACTGCAGCCTTGAACTCTTAGCCTCAAGTGATCCTCTTGCCTCAGCCTCCCTAGTAGCTGGTATTACAGGCACAAGCCACTGCACCAGGCAGAACAAACATTTTAGTATATAACAGTATAAAGAAGAAATGTGTCTCTTTCCTTCTGCTTTTTGGAAGTAACTTTTATCTCAAGGGAAAAAAAATTTATTTGCTCTTTAAACTTAGAAAAAAGTTGTTGGAAACTTGCCAGGTAATGTGCACTAATGTTTGACTACTGTCTTTTCACATTGTGGCCTGAGACCCTGCCCTCTTCTCATTTTAGATGGCACCATTGTGGTCAACATTTTAGTAAAAGCTACAGGTTTAAAAGCTTAAGGAGCTTCTGACTTTATAATGTCTACTCTTAGCTATTATATATTTGATCAGTCTAACGTAGGGGTCCCCAAAGCCCGGGCCACAGACCAGTACCAGCCTGTGGCCTGTTAGGAACTGGGCAGCACAGCAGGAGGTGAGCAGCGGGCAAGCAAGCATTGCCAACTGAGCTCTGCCTCCTGTCAGATCAGCGGCAGCATTGCATTCTTATAAGTGTGAACCCTATCGTGAACTGCGCATGCGAGGGATCTAAGTTGCGTGCTCCTTATGAGAATCTAACTAATGCTTGATGATCCAAGGTAGAACAATTTCATCCAGAAACCATCCCCCGACTTTGTTCACCTCATATATGTAATATTTTCCTACTTATTTTCCCACTTAGTAAGTTGTTTTTTTTTTTTTTTTTCCCTTAGACCTCATGTAACAAAAATACCTATCTGGCTAAAAACAGTGAGCTCAAACTGTGCACTCACTAGCTCCAAATATTAACCTTCACCTTCACTACCATCAAAACCACCAGGAAGTAAGAATGTGCAAGTGGGCACTTCTCAGGGAAAAATAATCTAACCTTTCAAAAAATATCTTCAAACATAAATAGTTCTAGTTTCGTGTATTAACTGTAACTGCTTGCATGACTTTATCTGTCTCAGATCTCTAAGAATCCCTTATCACGTTAATATATATTTTTCCCTTTCTCTGTATCCCTTGTGCATTAGAACAAATCATTTTTTCTAAACTTTTTTTCTTTTTTTTTTTTTTGAGACAAGGTCTCACTCTCTTGCCCAGAGCAAGAGTGCTGCAGTGCAGTGGCACAATCATGACTTACTGCAGCCTCTACCTCACGGGGTCAAGTGATCCTCCCACTCCAGCTTCTCAATTAGCTAAGACTACAGGAATACACCACCATGCGTGGCTAATTTTTTCTTTTGTGGGGGGAAGGTCTCCCTATGTTGCCCAAGCTGGTCTTGAACTCCTGGCCTCAAGCGATCCTCCTACCTCAGCCTCCCAAAGTGCTGGGATTACAGGTGTGAGCCACCACGCCCAACCTAAACTATTTTCTTAAAGAACACTCACTGGTGAAGGCCGGGCGCG